ACTTAATGCACTTGAATTTTGGTTCTCTCAAGAGGTTTAGTATCTTTGCGTGCTTGGTTTCAATCCAAAGAATGGGAATTCTATCTCAACTCATAATTTCACGTGTTTGCTTCTTGTTGGTTAGATGGTTCCTATCCCTACCTTTTACCTTATGCTTTAGGATAGTCTCTTCTTCTCCTCGCATCTTCTTTAATTTCAAAAATCTTCTTCCTCCTTTTTAAAACTCTTCTTGTTTTTTAAACTTGAACCACTTTCATAATAAACTTGGACTTATGTCCACGCATTTTCAAAACATTTTCATAAATAAACTTCAATCAACTTAATAATACTTTGGCGTTTTTTGTGAGAATACTAAAAGTCAATCAATCTCATTTCAAGCTATTTTTCAACTTTGGCTTTCTTATTTTAAAACCTTTCTCAAAAGATTAGACTCTTGTCAATCCTTGTAGTGATGCAAACAACTTTACTTCTACAATATGTAGTGAAAAGAGATATTTTCCACTTGGGCATTGAGTGAGGCATTGTTGATTTTAAAATCCAAGCCATATCCTCCACTTTGAGATGATACAAATTCTCCCTTTCTCATGATTGTGGATAGTGGGTACGTTTTTTACACAGACAATGACGATGATGTTTTATCTCATAAAAATTAACCAACACACTTACATTTTATAATTTTTTTAAAGAAGAACTACGTGTACCCTGACCCCTTATTGCATGAAAGATGGTACGTAGGCACTAAAGGTTCACAACCGCGGCGGGTGCAAAAAGCATAAAAAATATATTTCTTTTCTCACCTCCACCATCCATTTTTATACAACATTTTCATAGCCAAAATATACAGATCTTACAAAGAGGTTCCTCCAGAGTACCGTGTATGTTTAGGGTGCTAATACCTTCCATTTTCATAAACAACCCCCTTACCTTGAATCTTTCCCCCTCTTTTGGGTTATTCACTCTTGTCCCATTCCTTTGGAAACAATAAAGCGCGGTGGCGATTTTTATTTTGATCTGTATAAGTTAAGTCAATCCAATGGAATAGTCTTAAACATTTCTACCGCTACAGAAAAAATGGCGACTTCACTGGGGAAAGAATGACCTCTTGTTGGTCCATCCCTAAGTGGGTTGATCCTATCTTTGTTTATATATGTGTATATGCTATTGTTGTTTATTTGTTATATGTTGTATATATGTTTGCCTGGATTTTCCTGGTTTTCAGGGTTCTTGGTGATGACTTATAAGTCCTATACCCGGACTTCGGAAAACTTTAAGATAGGAAGGACGGTATAGTCATGTTAACTTTGAGGGAGTAATCCCAAAAAAGTAGGCATGAGATCCCTCACACAGTGGAGGCCCCTTTGACTGTAGTGTCGTTTACCGAGTAATTGGGAAGATGTACTGCTTTCGACCTGGGAGCCTGCTGAAGCTGAGAACCGTAGAATACCTAACCCATCTTGGCCTTCTAGGTGTAGTTCGGAAGCTATGATAGAGTAATCCGGAAATAGTTGTCACACGATACTACTCTCGAATGAGTTTTTCTTGAGAATATTACTAATTACCGAGTTAATCGGGAAGTTGGTAATATCCGAAGGAAGGATATAGACTCTTGGAACCTATAGAACCTTGTTCGGCAGGTGATAACTTTTAGACCAATACCTTATGGGTAATACCTTCGACCTCATGCTCGTGACTTTGAACCTATGAACCCTATATGTGTGATCTTGTGTGTGATTGTTGCATCATGCATCCATGCACTCATAAGCATCTTTTGAAGAGATCTTATTTCAAGGGATTTAGATATTTTAAGGGATTTAGATACACATCCCTTTGCACGGAACACATGAGAACCGTACAACAGTAGACAAATCAACCTCGAAGGCCAGATTATAGATATATACATCAACCCACATTCTACACACCTGAGAGTTAATCTTTCAAAATTAACTTATCTCAATATGATCTTGCTCCATTTTATGATACAATATTATAGCTCTATCCTTTAGACTACCATAAATTATCCTACCTTGGATGTCTTTTCCACTATAATAGAACACAAGTTCTATGTTCTCACAGACTTAATAATGATCTTAAGTTTGAATGAACACCTTCCATCTTGTTTAAGAGAAACACCAGCTAGCCATCTAGAATAGTTACTACTTAAGATCCCCTTTCTCCAACTCAATCTGAACCTATTCCATTAGAGCAAAGCAGCCACAAGCAAGATCCCATAAATTAAGCTCCTTTTGATCAGAAGCATCTTCCAAATGTCAGAGAGGATGTCCTCGACATTTTAACTTGACCTCCATATATAAAGAACCTAGATGATATAATGAATCTCTACTGGAAGTTAGATCTCATCCTCTACACTCCTACTTACTTGGATCAAAAATAAACTAACCCAAGAAGTAATCAATAGGTTGATCCACTCTTGACCATCCTAGTTATCTAAGACATGTTTCTTAGATAGAAACTTCTTAGATACACAACCCATATGCCTCTTCGAATTTGGGTGAAGGTTCCAAGCACATGTGATCAACACACATTTGTTTAGCATCTAGAGCATATTCTATGATGTTCTAACATCTAGTAGAGCATCAATTCCCTTTCCAGTTAACACATTATTGAGCTTGGTTCTAAAGCCATTACTTCTCCCATTAAATTAGAACATTCAGTGATCACCTTCAAGTTCTTCAAAAAAACGCCCATCTTCCAGCCAAAATAGTAATGACAAAGTCAGGATCACTTTCCTAATTAAGCAAAGATCTAGGAAGATTCATTTCTTCATAACTCTTTTCATCAACCACATTTGGAAGTGCCTTTATGAGTGAACTTGAGATGAGCCTCAAGTATCTTTGGCAACTATATTAAACGGGTTGAAGTTATCTTCTAAGCAGCACAACATCATAGGATAAACTTTCAAAAGAGACTAGATCATCATGATTTTCCCTTATTGGTATTCCAAGAACTGACCTTTCTAAAGCCTTAACAATAGAGACACAAGGAACTACCAGAGTTTTTACATTATATACACATACAGTGAAACACAAATTAAAAACTCCTTGGCACCGTTTAGGCACACAAAAAACTTTTACATGCAAGCACTATAATCAAGGTGTCAACAGAACAACGTAGGTTTGAAAATAAATCAAACATACAAATTAGAATCACAGCACCTCATCTCCAAAGTAATACACCCGACAACATCAGACAGGATCATTACTCACCCTGTCATAAATAATCAATACTCCCCTCAAGGGACCATCCAAACAACAATATGAATTTTCCAAGTTCACACCTCAGGAAAGATGTCATAACAAAGACATCATGCATACACATATCTCACCATTAACAGTAGCACAAAAGCATACTACAACATTGGGAACAACACAATCTTGATCATCTTCAAGTAGTCTTTCAGGTAGTCTTCCACCTCTTGCCCCTATCAAATAATCTTCTACACTCCTTGATTACGTCACATGTTTTAGGAATGTTACCACTGAACTCCCTTGTCAACTCCTCATAATATGACTTATTAAAATCATACCTTTGGAGAGATCTTTTGAACACAAATCCTCTTTCCTTGTCCATTGTACCAGAACGTATTTTCCCTGAATCTCACCCAGAGTCAGAGCAGGATGCCTGATCTGATACCAATTGAAATTTTGGTAGTCAAATCTCAAATGTCCTAAGAGATGTCGAGACACTGATCTCTGAACAATAACGCAATGAACAAAGTAAAACAATAATTAAAATAGTGCAAAAAGTAAACAACATGTTAAATTTTTAACCCAATTCAGTGTACAACAACACCTACTCTGCGGGCTACCAAGCTAGGAAGGAAATCCATTATATAGTATCAGTTGAAAGCTAAACTCCCCCATTTACAACTTCTCACTTAATCACTACCTGTTCTATATTTCTACCTAAGACTCACCTAGGTATTAGACCCCTCTCCCTTTCCTTACAGTCACAAACAATGACAAGAACACAATTCAAACGAGTTAGAAGACAAACTTTAAAAACACACAATCACTCTATACTTAGAAGCTTAAGAGTGATTGGAACTCAAGAAGAAGACACACTCCAATAAACAAAATTCACTCTTGTTTAAAAGCTTATGAGTAATTAACAATTATAACTCAACTAATAGTCCAACTCAAGTAACAAACAATACAAGAGTGGCTCACAATAAATAATGAACGAATGAATCCCTAATAATTGACACTTTTGCATATTTGGACCATATATTCTCTAGGTATAAATTCTTCTTTTTATAACCTTTTTCTAAGTTGTATTAGGCTTAAAAAACACATCAAAGAGACTAGACAAAGTCTATAAAAACTTCTCCATAAAAATAGGTCTTCAATCATTAGTTTCCTAAAATATCTCATGATTTAGAAAACATGAATAATTTGTATACCCACATATATCTCTGATTTCTTAGTCTTGGATGCCATATATAATTACTAAATATTCCTAGAATATTCAACATTTATAACATACTAACTGAATCTAAAATTCTAGTTGTAACAGTCACGACATCGAATGATCAGGATAAGACATCTTGTTTAACATGTTCATTCTACAAGTTAGAACATCCTATTTAACATGTTGCTTCCTAATTTGTTTTAATAAAATTAATACCAATCATACAAATAGAGAATAAAAAATATTTTCTTTAACCTCATCATATCATCATATCCTCTACAAACATGCAGTAAAAGCAACAACAAGTTGTGGCACAAAATCTCCACCAAAAACCAGATCAATTTTATCAACAGGTGCATAGATGTGTATCACAATATCTAGAACATTTTTCCCAACATCTAGATGTAACTCAAATTCACCAACCCATGAAAAATATTATCACTCTTAATCACAAATTCCTTTACTAACTTAGGATAAGCATATCCATCATTCAACATTGTCTTCACTAACTGAGCATCCTTAAGAAGCTCCATAATTTCATTATATTTCAGTGCTTCAACATAATGTTCTTTTTAAATATCCATTCTCCTACGATGAGTAACATTCCTTTTCTTCCTAGATGATTTCTCACTAACAATTACATATTTCTTCATCTTCTTTGGTGTCTTCTTTGCCTTTGTAGGCGTAGGGATTTTCTTGGAATGAGCTCTTTTAGCCTTCAGCACATCCTTTCTATTTTCCACCTTTTTCTTTGACTTCTTGTTAAACCTTTTACTAAAACCAACATCTTTAAGTACACCTTCATTGATAGGGGCAGACCCATCATGAACTTCATTGTTCATATGGATAAAACAGTCACCAACATTGACAGAATCATTAACAACATTGTCAATATTGTCACTCGAATTATTCTCCATATCATCCCCTTTAGAATTAACAGGTGCATCACACCCATCCTTCCTTTATGTTGGAAACTTAGTCACCAACATGTCATACAGGTTGTTTGGAAAATATTGGCTGACATCTTCATTATCATCATTAAAGATATTAATATTATAATCAATCTATTTAGTAATCTTGTCAATATAAGGAACTTCTTTTGACTCTACAGACTTGCGTCTTTCCACATTGTCATTAATGATGGAAGAAAACTTCACACGATTTCCTTTATCATACACCTTTCTATCCTTCTTTCTTCCTTATGTTGTAATTATTAAAAATAAAAGAAGTAATTGTATTTTAAAAATATTTTATTAAAATCAATTATAAATTTATTTTATTTAACCTTCATTTAGAAATAATAATTAAGATATTTTTCTATTAATTTATTTATTTTTAAATTTCATAAATAAGTTAATAATGGATAGGAATAATTTGTTAATTGCCTTTTGCCATATGATTGATGTTTTAAACTGATGCCAATGATAAATTTGAGAATAAATTTCTTCAAGTTAACGTATGGTATATGTCTTTACTTGTCCATAAATTAAAATATTTAAGAATGATTAGTGCAGTGAATTGAACTAATTTGATATGCATTTAATATCAATTTAATTCTATTCAACTTTTGTTTTACAATATCCTAAAAAATTGAGTTAGAATATATATTTTTATACCCCAAAATTTTCCCTCTCTTTTTCTCAAGATACTTCTTACAAAGATCATCAATGATTCTAGTTTGCACAAGTATTGACTAGGTCAAGACGTCTCCTGAACAATGATGCCTCAAACTAGGGTTTGAGTTTGCACAAAGACAGTTGGACTTCTAATATTTCAAATTAATTTAATGTATCATCATGGACCCTCAAGATTGCTCCTGTCAAATTTCAAGTCTTGGATCACAAAATTGCTCAGTCAATTGATCAGATGGCCTAAAATGAGTTGTATTAAAAAAAAGTAAATTGTGGTCAACCTACAATCAAAATTCAAGATTTTGGACCAATATCAAATTTTTTAAGTCATTTGTACCATTTGATCAAGATCAGATCATAATTCTCCAAGAAAATCGTTCAAATCGTCAAAAGGGAAAAATGGTCAAAATTAGGATTTTGACTGAGAACGACCAATCTTTGACTTTTAACCTAGTGCATGAATTATTGGTTTGAAACATTATCTCAAGGATTCAAGTGCATCATTTTAACCTAATCGCATATTTCAATCCATTTTCGAGATCAGTGGGTTGATAGATGAAATTTGGTAAACTGATGAAAAAGTCAATTACATTGAAAAGTCAAACTTTGACTTTTTTGGTCAAATTTGAGTTTCAAAAATTAAATTTCATCAAGACAATTCAAAATATGGAATTTGATCATCAAAAATCAAGAAAGCCAAAAAACCAAACTTTGCAAGACTCGGAAAATTTTTCAAAGTATTTTCTATACATGATTAATTTCATTACCTCATGACATTTTTCTTCACCACAATTCAAGATAATTCAAATTTTAAAATAAACAACAAAGTTGAGTTTTGAAGTTAAAATTATAAATCCTAAACTTTGTCTTGGTTGAACTTTTCCCTTTGACTCAAACCTTGCTACTATGCTGTCCACAAAACCAAACTTGTATCATGCTACAAACAACGATGTCCAATTTACTGTTGAATAAAGCCCAAAGTTTACACCAACCAGTCCAAGCATATCAGTCCAAAACCTGTTGTTCCTACACAAAATAGTCTATGCAAAACCAGTCCTGCTATGCTGCCTCTAAATACTGCCACAACCTGCTCCCAAAACTTGCTATGTTGTCCAAGCCTGCACTATTTCATTCCCCATATTTGCACCAAATTAGCATATAAATGCTGCATCTCAAAGGCTATGAAGCAGCATACCCAAAAAGTTCAAAAAACTTATTTGTTTCCCCCTCCCCGCAAATCTCAGCCAAACTTCATCTACAAATAAATTGTTTTCACAACACACAAAGGGTGGGCTTTTAGAGAGAGAATAGAGAGTTTTGAAAAAAATATAACAGAACTTTTCTTGTAACCTCTGCTCATCTTCAGCTCTATCTTCATTCACAAAAACAAAACCTCAATCAATTATTCCACCTCGAAAGCTCTCCCATAGACCAACCATCCAACCCTTCATATCACATAGAGATTGTTCAAACACAAGAACAATTTATGTAGTGCCATTATCATCACCTTTCAAACACAAACAAAAGACAGTATTGTATAACTTGACGGGTTTGGAGTTGGTTCGGCAGCTTCCAATACAGAGGAAGGACTAGAGCAGCTCCCTGGAGGATCACTGAAGCCACCACAACATCTTGAAAGAGGTTCAGATTCAAAACAAACTGCTGTCTCAAGGTGAATCTTCTTAACTTTGAGATTTTCATTTCAAACATCATTAGTGATTCATTGTTGAAGATAAATTTAGTAATCATTGCCTTTTGAAGCTAACCATTTACTTGTTGTTCATTTTTATTAATCATATGTTATGAACTGACTTGTACAGACAATAGAACAATATTTAAGGTAAAAAATGCAGCATGAGTCGACACATACTCACATGAGTCGACTCATATCAGTTGCAAAACAGGCTATGAGTCGACACAAGGCCTTATGCATCGATATGCTATCCATACCCAAAAACAAAAAGGCAAAAGGTGTATGAGTCGACACAAAACACAAATGTGTCGACACAAACAAGAAATGAGTCGACACATACCATTATGTATCGACTCATACTGAGTTGATTTTGGTTTTACAGGAACAAGAAGGGTTATGTGCCGATGCAAAGATGCATGTGTCGACATATAATGGTAAAAAAATAAATTTTTCCTTTCTTTTACACTGTTTTTATATTTTTTATATATTTTCTTCATTGCTATTTAATATGATTGTAATAATTAAGCTTATTTCATCCCCATTTGTAAATTGTACCCCCATCCCCTAAGTGATGTAATAGTATAGGATTTTAATTTTTGCAATTTATTGCTTTAATTTTTAATAATTAGGGTGTGTATGGTAAGATAAAATCAACCGTTAGAAAACCCTAATCTCAAAGACAAAAATGCATGCAATTGAAACACAACTCACACACTCGCACCTTTAAGGTAATCCCGCTTGTTGACTATGAATAAATAGTCATGTCCCTCGAATATTGAACGCTTTAGAAAAGACTCTCGATAAAAAGATCGTAGTCCCTTGATGACTCTTCGATGTTGCCTTCGATAAAACGATCTTAGTCCCTACGAAAATTGCTAAAGTGTCTCATAAGTTGCCTTCTATGACTATACGATGACCAACGCCCGTCCTTTCACATCCAATGATAGGACTTCTTATCAATCAATGGTAAGGTAGAAATATCTAAAGGAGGAGGAAGAGAACAAAGACCTTTTGGATAAGTATGATGCTCGTAGTTTCTTGCTCACAAACTAAAATCATCTCCACACTCACATTTTCAAAATATCTTCAAAATCAAACATCTCTTTGAACTATTTTCAAAACCAACACTTTGTATACATTCTTATAGAGACGAGAATCATTACAAAGTTTACCGAAACAAAGGTGTTTTCAAAATATTTTCAAACTCACACCAATCACAAACACATTTCAAACAAAGCATTTTCAAAGTGATCAAACAACTAAGAGCTCGTAGATAACTAAAAATGAAAAGGGTGCTAACACCTTCCCTTTTCATAAGCTACCCCCCGAACTCAAGAAAAATATCTCAAAAGGTCTTTCCTGTTCTTTTCACCATTTCTTCTATTGGATAAAAGAAAAGTCGGTGGGGACTCTTGCTATCCGCAACAATTGCGATAAAACACAAAACACTCAAGTCAATTATCCCACCGTATTACATATATTCTAACAGTTTTTATATTAGGCAATTTAGGATTTGATTAGGAATAGATCGTTGTTAATGCCAAAGTTCTAATATTGAGAAACTTCAATTTTGATAATATTCTTTTAAATGCAATTAATATTTTTCAACGTAAATTCGGTTACATGTCATTATTTAAAATTAAAATTAAGAGAGGTCTACATTTAGAATTTTTTGGGAAGAAAAAAAAGAAAAAGGAAAAATTACGAAAAATAAAAAAAGCATATAATATGTTTTCAAAGTTAATATATTTTGGGTTATAATATTTCTTGAGATCATTTTCTTGCAAAGTCTGAATCCTCGTTTTTGCGAGAAGAGTCTGTTAAATCCTGGGGGCTTAGCGTATTATGCGGAAAATTCTCGAGGACAGCGCGATCAACGTGTCTCATACTATCTCATTGTTTATTATTTTGTAGACCTTCGTACAATCTCTACAACACCTTCAACATAGAAATCAGAAGAGATATTTACAATAAAGTCTTTGACTAGTCTTTCATAGAAAGGACCAATGTTATTAATTGTCTTCAGTAATCCAACAACTTCCATGATTTGCAATCGAGAACTTTTTTTCCTAGTTCTCCCTAAGTTGTAATCCTTATTTAAAAAATATATTTTCACTTATGAGCATGTGTCTCATAATGAAATGACACATTATCCATGGGAGCAGCAGGTACATTCACAAAAATTCTCCTTCCACCAATCTTTCTTCTTATAGTGGACACAATATCCTGAACATCTTCTTTAATATTTATCTCAGAGTCACTTGATTGTACAAGCTTTATCTTTAGAGACTTCTTCTTTTTTACTATATCAGCAACATACCTACATGCACTCTTCATCACAATAACAACATGTTCTTCATCAGTTTCTGCGTCTTCATCCACATTCACTACTTCTTTATCACTTTCTTGAGTAGCCTTTTCTTAAGGCTTGGTTATATTCTCAATGATTCTCTTTATTATTTTGGCATAAGGAATGCCATCATCTTCATCAGTTTTCACATAATCACCATTTTTAATGACATAATCATTATCATGATGACAACCTTGGACACACCCTAACCTACTTCTTATGTGGTATCATATTAGAACTTTAATGCTTATGTGACATCATATTAGAATTTAAAATATTTATCACTCTTTTTTTAATTCTTCACACCAACTCCAATTCAATACCACAATTAATAACGATATTAAAATAAATAATAACAATAATAATAATGCTAATAATAATAATATAATACTATTAAACCATCACTATTAATAATAATAATAATATAATATTTAGCTAATAATAATAGTAAAATAATAATAATAATAATAATAATAATAATAATAATAATAATAATAATAACCAACTACCACAATAATAAATAATAATAATAATAATAATAATAATAATAATAATAATAATAATAATAATAATAATAATAATAATAATAATAATAATAATAATAATAATAATAACCAACTACCACAATAATAAATAATAATAATATATTCAATTAACACTATTATATCTTAATATCCTAATATTCATTTTTTTATTCAAAAAATCTTTAATTCTCAAATAATAATAATAATAATATAATATTCAACCATCACTATTAATAATAATAATATAATATCTAGATAATAATAATAGTAAAATAATAATTATTATTATTATTATAAATATATATATATTTATTTTAAATATAATTATCAAATAAATTATGATGATGTGGCAATCTCACAAAGCTTCTCAATCCACATCAAAATTTTCAAGTTTTTAATATTTTATAGAAATCTATATTTATTTTAAATATAAACATCAAATAAATGTTGGTTAAAAAAGTGTCAAATAAATATGTCATAATTTTTTTATAATTTATATCCCATTTAACATTCTTTAATGTATTAAATCCCTTTACAATGTTAGAAAATTATGTTGTTGTAATTATTTTTTTAATTATTCTCTTTTAATAATTCTTTTTAATATCATAATTATATATTTTTTGTAATTATAACTTTCCATACGGTAAGATATAATATAATTTTAAAAAACAAAAAAAAAGTTTAGATTATATATGATTTAAAACTTTTTTTTGGACTTGACATTGAATAAAATAATCTTAAAATTTTAAATTATAGATTAAACACTAAATGAATAATTGAAATTTAGATTGATCTACTCTAATATGTATTATGAATTTAATGATTAATAAAAAATAATATTGAAAATATTTTGACTAATTTTTCATTTTATATAACTAACTAATTCTTAAAATTAATTAGAGCCAATACAATTGTCTCTTTTCTAAAAATGGATATTTTTTTCTCAAAATAAATATGACCTTTTAATTTCTATATAAATAAAATATTAATAACAATTGTATAGTGAGAATTTTTTTTTTGAAATAACCATGTATTAAAAAAAATTTCGCAAATAACTATGTTTCAGATGACTCCTCAAGGGAGGAGCCATCTCAATTGGCGCCTACACCTACCTTTTAAGGGGAAGCGCCATCTAACTTGGCGTCTAGGTCTTAGGGCTTGCCCTAAGCCATGTGAGATGGCGCCTTAGTGCATTTGCTAGGGCAATTTTCGCGTTTTTTTTCAATGCGGTGCGTTACGTATTCGATATAGGATCAACAAAATTGACTTTTTATTTACAAAATATGATTACACGCATAAGTATTACATAAAAAAAACATATTAATCAGTGGTCCCGCGGAAACAGTGCCAGCATACGCCCCGGATGGTAGTCAACTCAACGGAAATGGAATATTTCGTCGAGTGTTTTGGGCTTTTCAACCTTGCATCACAGGGTTTACGTCATTCAAACCAATTATACAAATTGATGGGACTTGATTGTATGGGAAATACAAAGGCACTCTACTGATGGCAGTTGCACAAGATGGCAACAACAACATTTTCCCAATTGCCTTTGCCCTGGTCGAGGGGGAGACTGGTGGTGCTTGGAGCTTTTTTCTCAAAATTCTGCGAACACATGTGGCTCCTCAAGCAAATCTCTGTTTGATCTCGGATAGACATGCATCCATTGAAAGTGCATACCATAATCCTGCAAACGGTTGGCATGACCCTCCTTCTACGCATGTCTATTGCGTTATACATATCATCCAAAATTTCACGAGGGAGATCAAATAAAAAACACTTAGGAAAGCGGTTATGAATGCGGGGTATACATTGACACAACCTACATTCAAATATTACTGCAAAGAGATCCGTTTGTCAAATTCGGAAGCCGGTAGGTGGATCGACAATATTCCGGTAGAAAAATGGACTAGGTCATACGACAATGGCCAAAGATGAGGACACATGACAAAAAATCTAATTGAATCCATGAATGGGGTATTCAAAGGCATATGAAACCTCTCGGTCACTGCTTTGGTAAAATCAACATATTTTAGGATGACTTCGTTGTTTGCCAAAAGGGGTGAAATGTGGAATGCGGTGTTACAATCTGGACAACTATGAAGTGAAAGTTGCATGAAGTACATTAAGGCAGAAAGTGCCAAAGCCAACACCCATATGGTTATACGGTTTGATCGACACAGCCACAACTTCATGTTGAAAGAGACAATCGACCACAACGAGGGCCTGCCAAGACAAGAATATAGGGTTGTACTACCTTCTTGTTGGTGCGATTATGGAAAGTTTCAAGCCTTTCGTATGCCTTGATCTCATGTCATTGCCGCGTGTTCCTATACTCATCAAGATGCGCTACAACTTCTGTCACACATTTACAAATCTGAAACGTTGCTCAACGTTTACAACAATAGCTTCCCTTTGGTAGCAAAACCAGATTATTGGCCTGCATACGACGGTGAAATAGTATGGCACAATGACCAAATGAGAAGGAATAAAAAGGGTCGTCCCAAAAGTAAGCGCATCGCAACCAAAATGGACTCCCTTGACAAGCTGGAAAGAAAGTGTGGTTTATGTCGTCAGGTCGGACACAATCGCAAAAATTGTCCGAATCGGGCTACTGCCTCAACCACATAAAAGTTGTATTACATAAAATCTTTCATTTATTATGTTGTAAATATTATGGTTTTTCGTTAATAATATTTGTTACAATAAATATTGCGCGAATAAAAAAAACACGATAATCTGTCTACGAAATTACAACTGTTAAAACAATATCATCTGACCCATGCATCATCAACATTACGTCGCTGTCTGTTTTGACTTACTCCAACCAAACATTAGGTCTTCCTGTCGCAAGTGAGGTTGTTGTTCGTCTTCGCTGGATCCTTTTAATTTTCCCCCCTCCACGATGTCTCCATCTAACCATCGCATCAACTCCCGCTTCAGACGCTCCATGGAGTGAATGTGCCAGAATTTCATTTTCATCGGAGGTTTTGTGGCGGAGAAGATAACGTAACCATCTCTGGTAAAAATCATGGGTGATGTCATGACGCAAATAACAGAGTAAAAAATAAGAAAATAGTGCGAGAAAGTGTGAGAAATGACGGAGAAACGGACGAATTATTTATAAAAAAATAGCATTTTGCCCTAGGAGCCAAGTGAGATGGTGCCTCCTCTCACTTTTAAAGTGCATGCGCCATCTCACTTGACTAAAAGAGAGAGGAGGCGCCAAGTGAGATGACGCCTAGGGCATATTGCTTAGTGGAGGCGCCAAGTGAGATGGCTCCTCCTTTGAAGAGTCATCTGAAACATGGTTATTTAACATGGTTATATGCGAAATTTTTTTATAAAATATGGTTATTCCAAAAAAAAATTCGCATAGTGATGTTTCTCAAATAAATAAAATATAAATATTTTGTATTATTTTTTATTATTGTTTGTTATTTTGAAAATAATAATATTAATGTAAAATGTATTGTTTAAAAATATTAAACTACATTTATATTGATATTGATGTGTAATCTTTAAAAAATTTCATACAATTTATATAAATCAATAATTCAAATTATATTTTATTTAAAGCATTATAACTAATTATTTAATATGTAACATTATGACTAATTTATTTTTAAAGCATTATGACTAATTCATTTAAAATCATTATAACTAATAATTCTATGTTTAAAGTTTTTAAATTTTTAAATACAATTAGTCTTATTTAAGAGGAGTATTATATTTATAGCAGATCAATAATTTACCACTATTGAGTATAACTTCTTTTTTTTTAGAGAAAAGGAGTATATCAAATAAAGGAAGAAGATCCAACATCATAAATGAGTCTCAACAAAAACTTGAAATCTTCTAAAATTTCAAAATCTGAACAAACTAATTCATTCTCCTATCTTCTCTTAAACAACAAGAGTACTGGCAGCTGTTGATTCATATTTCTTTGTCTTCTTGTAGTAACGAGCAAGACTATGGATCCTGCTCTCAACCAAAATAAGCCTGAACTTAGAATCCTTATCCTTCCTATTCCTCTCTAAATGCTTCCTGATGGAGACAGCTTTCTTGATCAAGTGGTACAGATCTTCAAGAATTTCAGGAGCAAGACCATGAGCCTTCAATATGCAAAGAATCTTGCTTCCGGTTACACTCTTAACCTGGGAAATTTTATGGGAGTCACGAAGAATAACACGATTTGAGATGGAGTTAACCTTTTCTTGGCAAACTTGCAGATGGTTTCATCAACATCCTGGGAAGAGATCTTGAGCCATGATGGAGTTGTTCTCTTGTAAGGAAGAGATGAACTGGAAATACCCTTACCTTTTGAGGGCAAACGGCCCATGCTAAGTGATTGAGAAGAAGAAGAACAACAACAAACCCTAACTTTGTTGTGCCTGCGCCAATATCAAAAAGTATTGAAGATAACTTCTATATTAAATTATATTGAAAATAAAACTGTACCAAATGTTTTTATTGTGTAAAGTATAATGTGTGATGTTATTTATAATGACAATTTTAAAAAAAATTTAAATTTCTTCAATATGAAATTTTTTATTCAATATAAATAGGTTATATCTACCACCCAACCTATATAGAAATGAGATCTATGTTTCCTTTTATATTGATATTTAGATTATTTTTCCTAAGCACCCACTTATCTTTTAACTATTTTTAAATTTAGGTTACATATTAATGACTTTGACTTATGTTGCAGGTTAATGACTCAATTTATTCTAAAAAAATTTTTGTATTAATCAGGTTTTGAAAAAAAAATTACAAATAACTATGTTTCGGAGAAAATTACGCAAATAACCATGTTTCAGAAAATCTCACAAAGGAGGAGCCAACTCAGTTGGCACCTACACTTGCCCTTTTGCCCTAGGCGCCATCTCACTTGGCGCATGCTCTCTCGTTTAGTCAGGTGAGATGGCGCATGCACCTTAAATGTGAGAGGAAGCGCTATCTCACCTGGCGCCTAGGGTAAAATGTAACTTTCTATAAATAAATCCCTCGTTTCTCCGTCATTCTTCACACTTTCTCGCATTGTCTTATTATTTTTTCTTTGTTATTTATGTCATGACATCTCCCATGATTTTCACCAGAGATGGTTACGTTATTTTCTCGGCCACCAAACCTCCAATGAAAATGAAATTTTAGCACATTCACTCCATGGAGCGTCTGAAGAGAGAGTTGATGCGATGGCTAGAGGGAAACATCGAGGATAGGAACAAGTTAGAAGGATCCAGCGAAGAAGAACAGCCACCTCACTTACAACAGGAAGACCTAATTTTTGGTTGGAGGAAGTCATAATAGACGAAGACGTAATGTTGATGATGTATGGGTCAGATGAAATTATTTTGACGGTTGTAATTTTTTAGATGTTTTATCATGTTTTTATTTGTTGTTTGCGTAAGTTTTGTTGTAACAAATGCTCTTAATGAAAATCCTTAATGTTTAGATCTTAAAAAAGTAAAGATGGTTTGCATAAAAATTTTATGTTGTTGAGCTAGTAGCCAGAGTCAGACAATTTTTGCGATTGTATCCGACCTGACGACATAAACCACACATTCTTTCTAGCTTGTCAAGGGAGTCCATTTCAGTTTTGATACGCTTGCTTTTGGGATGACTCTTTTTATTCCTTCACATTTGCTCGTTGTGTCATACTATTTTGCCGTTGTATGCAGGCCAATAATCAGGTTTTGCTATCAACGGGAAGTTGTTGTTGTATATGTTGAGCAAGGTTTCAGACTTGTAAATGGGAGATAGAAGTTACAATACATCTTTATGAGTATACGCACATGCCGCAATGACATGAGAGCAAGGCATACGAAAGACTTGAAACTTGCCACAATCGCACCAATGAGATGGTAGTATAACCCTATACTCTTGTCTTGATAGCCCCCCGTTGTGGTCGATTGTCTCTTTGACAATGAAGTTGTGCTTGTGTCGGTCGTACCGTATAACCAGATGGGTGTTGGCTTTGACACTTTCTTCCTTAATATACTTCATGCAGCTTTCACTCTGTAGTTGTCCCGACTGCAATACATTATTCCATATTTCACCTCTTTTAGTAAACAACGAAGCCATCCTAAAATATGTTGATTTAACCAAAGAAATTACTGGGAGGTTTCGTATGCCTTTGAATACACAGTTCATGGATTAGATAAGATTTGTTGTCATGTGGACCCATCATTGTCCATTGTCGTATGACCTAGTCCATTTCTCCACCAGAATATTATCGATCCACATACCTTCGTCTGAATTTGACAATCTGATATCGTTGCAATAGTGTTTGAACGTATGTTGTGTTAATGCATACCCCGCGTTCATAACCGCTTTCCTAAGAGCCTTGTCTTAGATCTCCCTCGTGAAATTTTGTACGATATGTCTAATGCAATAGACATGCGTAGAAGGAGGGTCATGCCAACCGTTTGTAGGATTGTTGTATGAAATCTCATTAGATGCATGTCTATCAGAGATCCAACAAAGATCTAGTTGAGGAGCCACATGTGTTTGGAGATTCTTGAGAAAGAAACTCCAAGCACCACCAGTCTTTCTCTCGACTAGAGCAAATGCAATTGGGAAATTTTTGTTGTTTCCATCTTGTGCAACTACCATCAGTAGCGTGCCTTTGTATTTCCCATATAACCAAGTCCCAACAATTTGAATAATAGGTTTGTATGACGCAAGCCCTGTGATGCAAGGTTGAAAATCCCAAAACACTCGACTGAATATTCCATTTCTGGTGACATGAGTACCATTTGGGGCGTACGCCGACAGTGTTTCCATAATATAAACAGTACCTGGAGAATAAGTCTGAAGTGCATGCAGGTAGCGGGGAAGTTCTTTGTATGACTCCTCCCGGTTTCCATATACCTTTTCAATCGCCTTGGTCTTTGCTAACCACGTTTTTCGGTATGACAGAGTATAGTTATATACTGTAGTGATGTGAGTGATTATGGTTTTCACCTTCAATGATGGATTATTGCTGACTAGAGGTAGGATTTCTTGACATATGAGATCATAATTTAGTTTCTGATGATCCTATGATTGAGTAGAATTGACACACGTGTGGGTGGACATAGAACCTATGACCCAACAATCACCTCTTAATTTATATGATGCAGTGAGCTTGAATATAAAATTTGGGTGGACACACCTGAGCTTGTACCTTTCTGGATTTACATGATCTACCTTAAAATCGACCGAGTTCAGCATGTGAAACTTTTTTATGGCTCGGATACAATCTTCTTTATTACAAAATTTGTCTTTCTCTTTTAAGTTTTCATCTGACTGCATATACGGATTGAAAAATAAATCAGATGATGGTTCATCTCTTCCCATGTTAAAGTTTGTCATATGTGGAGGCAGTGTGTAGATCTCATCCGGAGGTATACCAGGTATCCCATCGCTTTCAGAATCATCGTTGAACATGTCGTCAAACTCTAACTCGTCATCTTCTTCTTCTTCGTCAACGACTTCTAGTTCTTCTTGTTCGGCCTTGAGAGGATCGACCACTTGTGACAGTTAAGGCTCTCGCAGCACAATGTACAACTCAATAGAGTTGTACCCAGAATACTCATGACTGGAAAACATATTTTGAAGGTCCACATCATCTTGAACCTCAACCTTATAAAATATTATTTGGTTGTCGTAAAAAAAACCAGGTTTTGATAAAAGATTTGTGTTACGGGACCTCGTCCAAGTTTGACCTCCAATCGTTTTTTGAAATACAAGAAATTCGCTTTCATGTTTAAACAAAATCGGATGTTCTCAGTGTCTCTAAACAAAAACCCAGAGGTGGGACAAATTTATGTCTCATCGTTGAAATGTGCACTGATCACATATTGTGGTGTAGGGGCCGAATGTTTTAAGGTTTTAAGGTTTGAGTGTTTGAAGGTTTAAGTGTTTGAGTGTTTGAAGGTTTAAGTGTTTGAGTGTTTGAGTTAATTGTTTGAATTTTTGAATGTTCGAGTGTTTGAATGATTGAGTGTAGAAGTGTTTTGATAAATGTAGGATTAAATAGGTTGTACTGAATTTGAATAAAACAACATTAACCAACCTTTAATTCGCCTCCCTACATGTCCAATCGTATTATATGCATGCAGAGATGCCTTCCCCAAAGTTGTCACCTAGCCTGCATTTACACTGCAACCCATGCCACCTCTAATTCACCAACTGGGATTCCGACACCTTTCAATTTTGTACTCATTCCCCAAGTCAAATGGCGTCTCCCTACATGTCAAATCGTATTACATGCATGCAGAGATGCCTTCCCCAAGGCTTCCACCTAACCCGCACCTACATTGCAACCCATGCCACCTTTAATTCACCAACTAGGATGGCGACACCTTTCAATTTTATACTCATTCGCCAAGTCACATGACGTCTCCCTACATGTCCAATCGTATTACATGCATGCAGAGATGCCTTCCCCAAGTTTGCCACCTAGCATGCATCTACATTACAGCCACCTCATGAGTGACACATATCATACATGCATGCACCCACCAACCACCTCATTTATTCACTCTGTGATAAAATTTTACCTATAAATACAGAGCCTCACATACTTGTTTTTCAACAACAATCATCTCACTCTCTGATACAAACTCTTTCATTATCTCATACAATTTCAACTATGGCTCTTCTTACAATGGGCAATTCTCACAGAGGCACAATGGATAACATTGCAGCGTTTGTAAGTTTTTATAAATTCTCAAAGATTCTTGTATACTTAAATTTTTTTATAATATTATTAAATGATTTATACATCTTATGGCCTCTTTCACTTTTTATATTTTGAGTTTAGGATAATAAAATATTCAGAATTAGGTCACACAACAACATTGCTCCCGACCCATTGATCGTGCTGTCATACCCTAAATTTGTTCGCCTTCAGTGCTACCATCAAGTTTATTTTCAAATTTTGATTTTTATAAAAAAAAATTGATTTACATTAATATTTGGGGGTTTTTAAAATATTCATTTTCTAGTTAATTTTAAAATATAATAATTTATTTCAAATTATTTATATATTTAAATAGAAAATAATATATCGTCTTCATAAGTTTTCAATTGACTTTTTATTCCAAATGAATAACATGGCATAGTTGGTAAGAGAGTAAGGCTTACAAGTGAAAGGTCTTGAGTTCAAGTCTCGTTACACTACTTTTTGGTATTTATATTCTTGTGTGTTTTTTTAATAAAAAGGATTAAAAAAAAGTCATTTTTCAATTATTTTATTATTATTTTCTTTTTCTATTTTAAGGGTATTTTAAAATTATTTTTTATTTTTTTTAAATCTTTGATTTTATACACTTAATAGTCAAGATGTTAAAA